AGAGAGGGAGAGAGGGAGAGAGAGAGAGAGGGAGAGAGAGAGAGAATGTGTATGTGTGTGTATACGCGTATACGCGTTCTCTCTCACACATACACCCCATCGCATGTAGCAAACAGTTGACCGCAGCGAGCACTTCACGTAATCACCAGCATCGGACGGTGAGTTGCGCCGCCCCTGCCTGCCTCGCGTACGCGGCCCGTAATTCGTTAACTATTTTGGCTTATAATTTGAAAACTAAGCCTCGGAAAAAATTTTGGCAAAGGAAAAATCGTCTTAAAATTGAGTCAAGTATATGACATTGTAAGGACAGAAGGTTGTTTTGAATCACCCTGTATATTTGCCGGCGCGACGTAAATTTATACGCTTAAAATTAAAGCCGGAATCAAATTGTAAGTACCGAAATTATTGAGTATAATAGATTGTTTAAGCTACTAATAGTACTACTATTATTGTAATGATGCTATTATTCACGACAACTGTGTAGATAAATGTTGAAATTAAATTAACGTCTGAATTAATTGTTATAAAAACTGTTATTATATACACACACACATAAACTAAAATAAAATAAACATAAAAACTGAATAAAATATAAATTAAATAAAAAAAAAACTGAAATAAACATATAAAGGCTAAATAAAAATAAATTTAAATTAAAATTTTAATAAAATATATATCACATTTTTTCCCATTTAAATTTTATACTCTTAGAAATATTTTTATTTCAATACTTCAATTATATGTATGGATTATTGTATCTTTGTTGAATGAAATATAAATTAAATAAAAATTAAAAATTAAAATAAACTAATATAAAGACTAAATAAAAATAAACTTTAGTAAAATTAAAATTTAAAAAATCGTAAAATAAAATAAAAATTTATTAAAACAAATTTTAATAAAATATATTGCAATATCACATTTTCTCATTTAAATATTATACTCTTATTCTTAGAAATATTCTTACTTCACTATCTTAATTATATGTACAGATTATTGTATAATACCTTTGTCTGGATTAACTGCATCAGCGCACGTTGACAAGCGTAAATGTAATCAGACGACATCGTGTCCCTCGACGTGCAACTCGTAAAGGAAGATTCGAGTGCGGAACAAATGGATGCGACGAATGTACGCGCGATACTTTGCGGTCTCTTGAGAAATTATGTGTCGTGTGCACGTGAGTGTCGCAAAGTGGTCAACGCAGGGAAAACGATAAATCAGTGCCCGGGATTGCTACAAAACATGTTTGGCAAGAAGCCGAGAAAAATGTGACCCTTCATCATCACGTTAAGTTATCGACGTATTAAAACTTGCTTATTTGAATACATGTCTGAATGCAGGATATCTAATCAAGTCTTGTAAAAAAATTCTCTGACCTTCCCGGTACTTTCGTACAAAAATTTCCGTGTAAAATTATATAAAGAATTTTTAGCAATGCAACTTTTTAAATTAAATTTCTTTGTTGTACGCGCTTTTTAATATTTTCTCTACTCGTGCAATCAAGAAAGAAAAATACAGAGCCATTAAAGTTTCAAATATTAAATTTGAAAAAGTACTGAAAATAACTGAATGACTTTCATAAGAAAAACATTATAATTTAGCATTCTTTTTGTCATTATAAAAAACACTATAAAACTAAAATTATTAAAGAGACATTTTTTTTCAAAATAATTCCATGAATCTCAATAAAATTTCGTGAGAATTTTCTAGGTAAAAAAATTTTCTGAGAATTCTAGATTTTTCTATGTTTTTCCAGGAAAAGAGTAGAGATCCAGGAATATAAAAACCAACCTGAGTGCAAGAGCCATTAACGCTTTCATCAAGCGTTTCGAGTAAATTAATGATGATGCAAACTACGCGCAGCATATTATTATTACTGCGAAACAAAGTTCTAAATAGAACGGACGCTACATGTATGCATTGATCAAACTGTGAATAAATTCTATTATTATTTCATACCTAATTGTGATTAGTTTATAATAGATCAGCAATATTAAGCGACTTACCCTCCATATGGGAGAGCCATTATAATAATTGTCGCGCGCAAATTAATGTGCTACGAAGAGTGAAACGGCTTGACAACTCGCGGGCTGCGATAAATTTGCGCGAATTGCCACGAAATAAATATGTCATCACGTGGGCGAAAATTGCACAACGATGCATCCCAATGACCCAGATTTCGTTCTGTCGAATTTCGGTCTATCGCGCAAATTTGCGTCGTCCATCCAAAGGTCGAGGGGAGAAATTCCAATATCCATTCCAGTAGCCGGAATGTAAACGCCAAGTGGCCTCACCGCCACTCGGCTGTGATGGCGAAAAAAAAAAAAAGACGGCGAAATAAATTTCACCTATTCGCGTATTCTTGACGATCATACATCGTCGTATGAACGTTCGACGATATCTATTGCATACATATGTATGCATGAGATGTATGCAGCCCGATGCGAACGACAGCCGGGCTTTCTGATCGATGCGAGTTCTATGGCCGACGACGGCGAACATGATACATATCCCGAGGAAACATGACGCCTCAATACTCGAGCCGATTGGAGAGACACAATGTAAAAAATTCTCTAAAAAATCAGATATATTTTTGTCTAAATTTTCGAATCTAGCTGTCTCGAAGAAATTTCAGACAATCTGTCTTAATCATCAGAGTCGTTTTTTTAAAAGTTCAGAAGAGTGTGTCCGAAAATTGAAATGTGTCTGAAAATTGAGACAGTGTATCTGCAAAAAAAAAACTTTAGACACTGTCTGAAGTTGTAGTCAGTTTTTTTTACAACAAAGGTGAACTGTAAAAAATTTTTTAAAAAATCTGACTCATTTTTATCTGAATTTTCGGATCTGGATATCTGAAAAAAATTTCGGACGATCTTAAGAAAAGTCTTAATTATCAAAATCGTTATCTGAAAGTTCAAAGTGTCTGAAAATGTGTCTGAAAATTGAAATATGTCTTCAGACAGTATTCTGTCTGAAAATTCAGACAGTGTATCTGCAAAAAAAAACCTTCAGACACTTTGTCTGAAGTTTTAATCAGTTTTTTTTTACAACAAATCAGTTTTTTTAGCAACAAAAGTGCACTGTAAAAAATTGCATAAGAATTCAGACACTTTTTTGTCTGAATTTTCAGATTTGAGTGTTCAAAATAAATTTCAGACAATCTGTCTTAATCATCAGAGTCATTTTTCTGAAAGGTTTAAGAATTTAGACACATTTCTGTTTGAATTTTCGGATCTGGGTATCTGAAAGAAATTTCAGACAATCTGTCTTAATCATCAGAATCGTTTTTCTAAAAGTTCAGAAGAATGTGTCTAAAAATTCAAACAGTGTGTCTGCAAAAAAGCTGCGGACACTGTCTAAAATTTTAGTAATTTTTTTTTTACAGTGACTGGAAAGATACACTGTAAAAAGATGCATACGAATTCAGACACTTTCTTGTCTAAATTTTCAGATTTGGGTGTTCAAAATAAATTTCGAACAATCTGTCTTAATCTTCAGAATCGTTTTTCTGAAAGTTAAAGAGAGTGTGTCTGAAAGTTAAAGTGTCTGAAAATTCAGACAGTATTTTGTCTGAAAATACAAACAATGTCTGCAAAAAAAACTTCAAACACTGAAGTTTTTTTTACAGTGTATGCATTAAATGTCATCCCTGTCATTTCTTTATTCAAGAAAGGTTACAAAGAGAGTTGATAATTTTATCAATTATTTTATCCCAATTAATTCAAATTTATTCCAGTTCATCGCATCCCGAATATTGGATTCTCGATATCGCGATTTTATCGGAGCTTTATGAGTAAAAGTCAGCTAATCGCGGAGCATTAATCGCCCCGTTTAATTTCCGAAATGCATACACAATGCACGATTACGCATCGCGGAAATGCCGTTGTGCTTGCGGAATCTTCGCATTTCCTCTCACGTATGTGTGCGTATACACATTAGCCCGTACCATTACAAAAGCATAAATCCTACGAGCCGATATTGATAACCGACAAAGAGACACAGGGCCGATGAGAAGATAAAAGCTACCATCAGGCGAATAGGAGGAAGAAAATATTTGCGCAAATATAGTTTCCTTGTATCCCTTGGAAAAATGCTACCAACTAAATTTGCTTCAGCCTGGTGTACTACTCCTTGCAACATTTCAAGTTAATCCGTATATATGGACGACGGGTTTATGCGCGATGCAACATTTTCAAATACATGAAATATGTTAAAACATCATCAAAGTACGCGCCGTAAATATTAAAATTGTTATTGATTTATATAACATGCAAAATGCATAAATAACATCTGTAATTACGTGAAAAATAAAATAACTGTCAATTTTTCCGGGAAAAAAGGTTCATGGTATAACCGATTCGTATTAATTCGTTGCCAATCAACATCCGTGGATTTAACACAAACAAATATTGAGTGGCCAAAAATGTCAACGTTATTTGTTAACAAAATATATGCAAATTACTCATATAATTAATACCGTACATTATTTCGAAATCGATTCCTGGAATATCTCGATTAAATTCATTGACACGACGGCGGTGATGTCGGTCATCATTGACAGATCGATCGGCTTACAGGATTAGTGCAAGTATGTACATGTAGTGAAAAAAACTCACGTTCTCTTCGACGGTCTTCTTGATCTTCACACTGGCCTCCACCACGGTCTTCCCGGCCTTGTTCACGGCGCTGTACAAAAATCCGCCGAGGCTCTTTGCACCCGCCAGCGCCTTCGTGGAAACTGGTGGCAGACAAGAGACGAAAATGAGAATGGATGCAATGTTCCCTGTGCAAGGAAGTTGTTCCCTTCCGCTGTTAACTCGGGGAACACCGCTAGAGCAACAGAGTGTGTACAGAGTATCTATTTAAATCTTGTAAAAACATTTCCTAAAAATTCCCTGATCTTCCAGATATTTCTATTCAAAATTCTAGATAAAGAGAATATTTTAAAAATTTTTTGGGTCGGGGAGAAGGTGCAATTTTCTAAAAAAAATTTTTAAAATTGACAAAAACGGACCCAACCCCAATGATCTTGATCTTGATATATGTTGTTAAGGTCACTGTCTTGAGTATCCTCCAAAAGATTTTAGGCATCGCTCGTTGCTTATTAAAAAGTTATAAATAGAAAAAGTTTACTGAATAGAAGGTTTTCTGGCACCACATGTATATTTAATACATACTCTTAGCAGATTCATTTATTTATGTGTGGTAGATCAAACGTGTGGGCGGGAGACAGGCTTTTCCCCTCTTTCTGCACCTCACCGAAAAAATCTAACCTAACCTATGTGTCCAAGAGGTCAATTTTTATTTCAAGTAATAATTCAGGGGTTTTGGGGCTCGGGGACTTTCACCGCCTACGCGTGAAAGTTGTTGACATATTATTTTTCTGTGGATAACTTTCTTCTTGTTTATATATTTCATAAGCTACTGTCTATTATGTGTCCTTGCTAATGTCAACAAAGCAATAGACTTATTTCTAAAAAATGGGTTAGGTTAGGTTTTTTCGGGGGA